ATACGCGATCAACGGATTGCAACAGAGAATTCTACGAGTTGAGCGGACGTGAATTGGCCGATCCGGCAGTGCGACGTGCGATATAGAAAATTGCATAATGTGTTTATACGCACAGACGGCGCACGTTATCGGCACCGGTGCGCTCTATAATAAATTAACGCTATTACGCACGACATTATCCATCGTGACGGGGCAACCAGTTTGCCGACCGCATAAGAAATGTGAGCGCGCCCATAAAGGCGCGTGTAAACGCGCTGTCGGATAATCACGGGTTGCGTCGTCAGAAGGCACGCGCCGCCCAAGTCGATATTCTTCCCCGTACGAATCCCTCGTGTATGTATGCGCCGATACCATCGCCGATTCACGGCGTAGTTCGTGAAATTTCGTGGCACAATAGTAGTTACTTACGGCATTATTCGGCACAACGGTGGAACGTAAACGATCGAAAGACACGGAGAGTCCAAATCACACACCTGGAGATGTGGACGTTAGTCTTACCGCGCAACTATAACTCGTTCACTTGCTGGCAAATTTTTAATGTTGTACCGGGAATTTTGAGAGATATTGAAAATTTCGAACGCGTTCGAGTTTCCATCTTTGTCATTATTAATAGGAATTAATAGGAATTTAATGCACGATAGTGCATGAATGCTCCGCGAATTTCCTACATTTTATATATTTTTTATAGAGTTAATAATTATGATGTCAACGTTATGAGAGAGAGAGAGAATAAAGGAGACAATCCTTACACAAGGATTTCATAACCACGCATGAACACGCTTTTGTTGCGTTACGATTTTCTTTGTATGTTAACCTAAGTTCATTGTACAAGTTTACGACGAACATTTAACATAAAGGCTTTAGCAAAATGGCTGATTTAAGTCTGTTACACAATAAGTCGTTTGTCGCTGTCGGAATGCAGCAGATGGTTGAATGAGGGAACTCGTTTTCGAAAAATAAATTCTGTCATCGGACCATCGACTGCGTTCCGATATACGACAGCGACATACGACTTATATAACTTGTATAATAAGTCAGCTTATCAGTTCAAGACAACGTTTTATGCCTTAAGTTTTTGTCTTAAGTAACGCACAATGACTGTGTTGTGTCTGGAGTTTTAAAGTGAAAAGCCATTCTGTTCGTGATCGATGACAAATCGCTGTATAATAAAAAAAAAAGTAAAGAAAAAATAATTTAGACAAAGATTCGTGACATGGAACATTGTTTGAAAATTACAAGTCAGCCATTCTGCTAAGACACTAACGTAACGCGTCACGGACGTTCCCATGCGGAGGCTTTACGACGTAGCACTCGTCGGGAAACTCGCGGAGAACGACACGCGTCTTCCGGTGGCTTCGATGTGGGGGACTTCAACGCGTGGTGGCGCGCATCGAAGTAGAAAGAGTTCGCCTGGCAGCTGCTCGTCCGACTAATCCCGAGTTTCATCACTTGGGACGCACGTTAGACTCCTCAAAGTCTCCCTTTCCTCACGAACGCTCATAGCTGGTCTATGCTTAATGAAACTCCAGGTATCACAAAATGCGTACCTACGGACGGTACCTGTTGATGGAGGCGTGGCTAGGATCACCCCACCAGGCTTTACACCGGTAGAGAGAAAGAAAGGAGACTCACAGCGGGAGGATCTTTTCTGGATCTCCTGGAGGGGCATCCATGAGGAGTGGAGGAAGACTACCTAGACGCAGGAGTCTCTTGTGAAAGGTACCAGAAGCGCCTCAATGTCTCGAGAGTGCACGCGGCAAAGGGCCGCACTAAATTAATCGCACGTCACGAATCCGCCGTTCCTCACAATTCGCCCGGTGCGTTCAGATTGAAATGACTTCGTTCGTCGCATCTGAATATTAATTTTTTCCCATCTTCGAGAATTCCTCTTTCTCTATAATTTTTCCAAAATTTGGTAAGAAAAATGTAGTCTATTTGACCTCTCTCACCTCTCTCGTTATGTGAAACTACGGCGTGGATCGAACATCTTCCAGCAACAAAATCCTACAAAATTATGTCCAAGCGAGAATCTCATAATTCATAAAAGCATGTAGTTCAAAAATTACTACTGTTACTCCGTCCGACAAAAGTGGCCGCTTGAATTCACCGACACGATCGTCAAATAAAAATTGCTACCGATAGACTTTCCGCTGTTGTTCTTCAGACTGAATTAATAAGCTCGAGAACCAAGTTAAATTTCAATTTCCTCCTCGACATTGAGCGTCGTGTTTGAATCTTGAGGTAGATGAACGGCTTTCGCCGAGCTTGCTGGCTTGCAACCGCAGAAAAATAGCGGTAGGAAGCAAACGTCCGGCCGAATTTGCGTGTTCTCTAAGACCGAGCTCGAATTCACGACGGCGAAATCGACATCACGATGACGACTCGTGTGGTGCATGCGAGCCGCTTATCCGCCCGCTAGATAGGCGCGTTTGTAAAAGATCGGCGGCGATAGCGCGAAAGAAATGAATGGAGAAATCACGGGGCCGTTGACTCGGAGGCATGGCGCCTCGTAAACATCGCCGAAGGCTCACGCACACGCGCGTGCATGCAGCGAGCATCGAAGAAAAAAGGGGGAGGAGGGCGCAAGAGGGCAGAAGGGGGGCACACGAGGTACGGGGGGAGCGCGCGCGCACAAGAGAGAGAGAGAGAGAGGGGAACGCACCGAAGACGACGGCAGATCGCGAACGAGAGGATGGGAGCTTTCGAAACGAGGTGTAAGGTACCACCGGGTCCCGTGGTACACTTTGCCGTGAAATTATCGTCCCGCTCTGCTCGGCACGGCACGGCACGGCTCGGCTCCGCCACGGCGCAGCCGTCGTCGCCGACGGAATTCGTGGCCTTGCCGGCGAATTTTCAGACACGCCGGCCGAAACTTACGACCGTTCGAGTAACCCTATTTCCATCTGGAAACAAAGGCGGCGCCGCGTATATAGAAGGGGGGGAGGGTAACCGAATGACGAGCAGTAACGATTACCTCGATAGACAGCATAAATTTCTGGAAAAGTCTCAAAAACGTTCCTCTGAGAGATGTCGAAATACCAGATGTCTTTTGGACGTCCTTAAGATTTAGGCCCGGTTAACTCGTGGTTTAAACTTAATCTGATGGTAATGCAAAAATTGTGTTTTTCTATTGATGGTTGATCATTAAATTGATGATTAACCATGAATGGGAAAATATAAGTTTTACATTATCATCAGGTTACATATATAAGCTCAAACCACAAGTTAACCGGAAAATGACAAGCCGGGCTAATCTAAAAATGCGTGCTGTCTGGATTCGTTCGACTGGATCAATTAGATCGGCGACTTTATATGCATATGAATATTCCTCGAGCACGATACATACTTCAATAGCGCATATTAATCCCAATAGTTCGTATTTAATTAAATAAGCCTGAATTGTACGTAACCGTCGTGGTTACATCGTGGTTATCATCGATGAAACTTGTTGAACTTGAGTGTTCCTGCGGGAGCAACTAAGAGGCTCACAGCGAGGTGCGACACTCTCCGATACCACCAAGCATTATATTCTCAACGTTCCATACATTACAAATAACGGAGCGATCCTTCGTACGAAGAAGAGCCGCTATCAAGCGTGTGCACGCGACAATCAGTAACGTTGAGCGTAAATCGAAAATCGTAACGGCATCTGGATTTAGAGTCCTCGTTATCTCGAAGCCGTATCGTAGGCTGACTAGCTGTATTCTATTCCCCTTGGTGACCACCTCGGCCGTGTCTCGATATGGTCGGTCACAAAAAGGTCGCAACACTTTTTTTATGAGTTTCGCAATCTCGTATCCGATAGGCAAATGTGTCCCCTGAGAATTACTAAGACGATTAATTCTCCTGTTGGATGCGTTCCGAGACTTAAATAAAAAGGAGTGTTGCGACCTTTCTGTGACTGACCGTACGTTGTGATATCCCAATGAGGTCTCGAGCGACTACATTTGTACATCGCAGAGGTATTCGCTTCGGTTCACGGATTTTCTCCCTGAGTGTCACACCAGAATCGAAGGAGCTTCGAAGAAGCGGAAGATGAAATGGCCCGACAGTGATGTCGAGACGGCGTCGCTTCACTTGAGGCGCGAATCACGCAGCCTCGAAAAAGAAAAGAGAAGAAAGAAGGATTATACGGGGTTACGTAACGGCCGGAAATCCAAAGAAGAAACCGATTTTGCACGGTCACTGAGGGAAGTTACTTTCGAGCGAATTCTCTAATGACTTCTCGGAAATGCCTGGAGAGCAGTTAGAACGGCATCGCGAGCAAACACGATGCGCCGTCGCCGCCGAAAGAAATTCATTTCTCGTTTACACCCGGGCGAGGTCTCTTCAAAGAGACTTTCACTGTACGTACACGTCGGGTTAACGCGGAAGAATGCTTGTAGGTCGGCGATTTTACCGACTGCAGACGGTGACGTACACCACCCGGAAGCTCTCTAAATCCTCCAACAACGGCCGACGAGTCGGGCCGACCTCGTTTCCTCTCCACGAGAAACGGCCGAGACGGTCAGCTTTTTGTGGATCCTAAGGCACCGCCAGGCGGCAAGTAGATTTTTCAGCTGTTTAGTAGGTTAGTCGGCCCACGGCCACGGGACTTCCTTCGTTAGAGGAACCGTTACGTCCTACAACGACCGGCGGTGCCCTTCCATTGTGACTGGACGCCCCATTGTTACCGGTTCTCTCCCGGCGAGTCGCAATCGCACGCGCTCGCGCGCGAGTTTCACGACTCGTGTTCGCCACAAGCGTACGACACGCCATACGTCAGGGTTTCTTTATCTTTTCACGGGTTACTTAAATTATATATATTAGATCGCAGGGGAAGAGGGGAGGAGGTCAAAAAGGACGCGACTAGTAATCATGTAGAATAATAGGATCACTTTCTTACCGTCCCGCAAAATTATATAGGTCACCCGTCTCTCTCTCTCTCTCTCTCACTTAATGGCAAACGAAATATGTTACTAGGTCTTTATACTCGCTTGACAGCAGAAAAAGTTACTCACCGTATCCCTGCATCATTCCGTGCGTCAAATAGAGTGGAGCCCTGCCAGCAAACGCGTCCTTAGCAAAGGCCTGTCTTATCAGCCGAGGATCCGACAACAGGATCGTGTACACCGAGCCCATTCGGAGTCCACAAAGCGGTCCGTATTTCCTCGCAAGACTCGTCAACGACACGTGGGGATTCTTGGGATCTAGCCACGGTAGATAGCCGAGGAGAGGGATGCCAAGTGGTCCCGGGGGGAGGCGAAAGGTTTTGCGATTTTTGCGAAGAGTATAAATGAAAATTAGGAAGCATGAAATACCGAGAGTGACGTATATTAGGGATGTCATTGTACTGTATTAGGAATTGTTTAACGTTTAAAGGGAACGGCAGGTTAAAGCGTCGCTGTAATGCCTGCAAATGAAGGAAAGAAAAATAATGATAGATTTTTCTGCTCCGCCAAAGTGGCATGTTACATCACTGTCATAGTTTATACACTATTTGTATCTTTCTAGAAAAATGTATTCGTCGCACGGAATCATTTCGTCGAGCACATCCGCGTGCCGACGTACAGCAAGTGTAATCGCCAGTGACAAAGACGCCAGTAAGAGATAATGACTCTATAATCGAACTATTCGCTATCGCCGCGAAGGTGGGAAACTTCTTCGCGATTATCTCGTAAGCAAGATACGCGCCGTTACACGGACGTAATAAATTACGTAAATGCCTCGCGTATAGAAAGGATGTGCGCGCGCGGTCCGTGCATGCGTGTGTGGTGGTTGTAAACGTATTCTAATTGAGGGAACGCGATTGCAACTTCCAGGAATGGCAGCGGCAGAAATGAATGATAAACACCTTTCTCTGCGCCTACGGCGAGCGTAGACGTATGAACTTATCTCATTATCAAGAGACAGAGTCACGTGCAATCGTGAAGAGGACGAGGAACGATTCCGTGTGATATAGGCCGACACGTGATCAAACACGTGCCGGCGAATCGCCAATGGATCGAGGAAGCTTACTTATTCGCGATGGCGCGCCACTTGAATTTTTATACCCGTCAACACACTTCGGCTCTCGCAAATGTTCAGCGGTTGTGGCATTTCATATTTTTGCACGAGCCAACCGCGATGTAAATTAACCCTTACGCGTCTAATGGAAAGTAAATGTTCCGGCTTTCACGGATAATTTAAGGTAAATGATTGCGAGAATGTTGCATTTTCTTTGCGATCTTCGTAGATAGATGTACTTTCAAACGAACGTGTGATTTATATGTATTCATAAATACGATATTCCAGGATTTTCCCGGCGAAACTTAACTTCTCTCATGTTCTATGACTAAAAAAGGAAACATTTTATACAGGCAAAAGTTATTTAAAGCTTTATTGAAAAATTATTGCGGAAATATGAGATACAAACACGAAACGATAACGGACTTGTTATTAGCACGATAAGAATAGAGATAGGAATAGATCTGCGATGTTTATCCAATTTGTTCATGCTCGAGTTGTGTTTACCGCCTGAGATGACTGAAGATAATGAATGTTAACTCCAACTTCAAGTGCGCCAATGGTCGAATGATCGTTATCCTCAAAGATGAATAGGTCGAGGAGAACCAATTGTTTAGCCTTCAAGATCGCTCGGTACTAAATTTCTACTTGTGGAAAACTTTGGAAGGACAAAGCTTGGCCGAAAAATCCGTGTCAACAACATATGTAACGTCGAACAGAACTTACCAAATCTGCAAACAGTGGATGATCACCGTAAAAATATGGTAGTCATACAGTCTGCTCGTTTTGTTCAAGATGTGAATTCGTTGAACGAGAATTATGAAAGAAATTTTAATCTATAATGAGGAAGAGAGAAGAGATCTAAAATTTCATTAGAAAAATACACGCAAACATAAATATGGACAATATTTTATTGACACGATAAAATGTGCACGAAGAAACTGCAATTGCACGTCCACTACTGGTATTGAAAGAAACACACGATGTGACAACGGCCACGGTTTCGAACTAAATGTCGCCACGCGAGACTATTATTGAAAGTGATCCCCGGATCGTTTGACTACCAAATGACAACCACGTCGTGCTGCGACAGCGAAGATTTGTCCTGCGATACAGCGACGAACGACAATGGAACAGAGACAGTAGAATAGAGTTCAAGTTTTTAGTCTCATGTTCCACTCATTCGGCAAATTTATTATTTGTTTAAAGAAATTTGAGATTTTTAAGTAGAAAGTAAGCCGTATCGTTTTACCAACACCAGGCACACTCTCATTTTAGCATTCTCACACAAATGAGAATGCTAAAGATTTTTGCACGGTCCGATAATTACGATACATTCAACATGTAATGTAGACGCTTGTATTGAAAATTATGTAGCTTACAAGGAAAATTGAATATGAATATGAAATGAATATGAAATTTATGATGTTGATAAGAGTAAAGATAAAAATTTTACCGCGAGATGCTTAACAATTTTTACACTCTGCGCCAATGCGAGGAGGAATTTATTCTCATGAAAGCGCCCTTTTCGTTGACTTGTAGTATAAAAAGTTACGTGTCTACCTGATCCCACGGGTCTCCTGACTTTTACTGACTGAGTCGCCCGCTTTGTAATTTATTGACATTCTTTCAATTTAAATTCGTAAATGTTGTTATACGTTAAATAAAAATATCACGGACATCTGTACATGACTTTAGGTCACGACTCACGACAAATTTATCGCTAAATTATTAATCTAAAAATATCACAATATTTTCATACATTTATATTTATTATGAATAAATGGAAATCCTGCGCAACCGATCAGTTCCTTCGAAGTAAGTCGTGTTTTTAGTCACGAGAGAACGATCATATGAGTGTATTTCTAATATCCCCGCGCACACACACACCGACGACCCGTTGCCCTTACGCACACGTTGGCCTTCTTGGCTCACCTTACGAGTATCCTGTATGTGCGCTCACCTCGGCTCACGTGCGAGCTATCGCTCGCCTGCGCCAATCACGTGCGAGTTTATATACATCGATCGCGCCTCTGCGGGCCGAATTCAATTTATTTGGTACGTGCCCGAGCTCGGGATAAACTGAAGAAAGATGAAAAGGAAAAAAAAAAAAAAAGAGAGAGCTCAATTTCCTATCGACCTACTGGCCGTTCGACGAGACCCAGGCCAACAAGTTCCAATCGTCGAAATACTCTTTGACCTCTTGTAAGGCTACTTTAGAAGAATTGCTCGGCGAGAAATGTTTATATTTCGTCCTCTTGTGCCAACACTTGAAGACCAAAGCGAAGAATATTCCAATAGATCGGGAAACATCGGTACGTATCGTACGTTTTCTCCGTCAAACATATTCTCACTCGGCGACGAACCTGACGTGAAGTTGAAACTTTTACATTTTTCAACGATAATTGGAAAGAGACAGCGCGTGTCAGGGCGGGAATCTGATTTTCACCGGCCGTAAAATCGGCCGACTCGTCGGTTTGTATTCATCGTTCGCGATCGCGGTGATGCCGACGCGAAATTGCCGATGCGATCCTTTTTTTCAGGTTACGTTTGCCTGGCGGGAGGCTCGCTCGCTTGCTCGCTCGTTCTCGAGGACACGATTGAGAAACGGCCCGAACGAGGGGGCAACCAATCGACTTTCGCGAGGGCAAAAGACGAAGACGCGCAACCGGAACGAGAAAATAAGCTATCGGTGTATATCGATAACGAAATTAACAATAATCATTTTCTCCGCGAAGTGTGATAAAAGTTATACCGCATTGTCCACGTTAAACGCGCTTATCTAATCAAGCTTATCTAATCAATTACGTATCTAGTCACTATTATCTGATTGCGAACGCATCTGCACACGCAATCAGATGTACTTGACGCGAGACGTCTTCGCATATATCTCTCTCTCTCGCGATTGAACAATAACTTCTCTTTCTTATCTTGAACTGTGACTTGTAGTCGCGACTATTCTTTCCTCTCCTCTTCTCGTCGGAGGCGCGCTGTTACGAAAGGAAAAACACGTTCAGCCACAGACATCTATGTTATACACTAGACTGCGCACTCCTATTGTTCTCCTTATGTAAAAATACTGTTATATATAAGCAGTGGCAGAATGAGTGTACAGTATAAGGACTGGAGCACACATAGTGTTAGAAAAAAACAAACAAAATTATCCGATATGTTCCTAATCCCTGTTTATATTTATTTATGCTTGTTGTCGTTTAGAAATACTACTTACAAGTATCTATTTACATGGAAGTATATAAAATAGCATTAAACATATGAGCGGTTCTTATTGCGCGTGCCGCATTATGTATACATGTTTTTGGGCAACAGTGGCAGGAACGCACACCGCAAATCCAAGGGTGTAATTTTACATGCAGCTACTTTTCACGCATTTGTACGCGTGTTAATACTACGATTTTATATACATAACTTTTTTACATACTATGTAAAAATTACTTATAATAAATCTATACATCGTATACTTGTGTGCGGAATAAATATCATATAATATATATTATATAACAATACGTATTAAAGTAAATTTATATACACTCACGTGTATAAAATAAGATTAGTACCACGTGTGAATTACAAATGCGCAAAAAGTGACTGCATAAAGTGTGCAAAATTACACGGATGTGCAGTGCGGTTCGCAATTAGTGTACTATATAGATGTCTGCGTCCGGCACAGCCCGAGGAGGATCCCAGACGACTTTAAAGCGTGGAAAATCGGTACGTAAAACGCGCGAGAGACGTTAAGTTGTTCGGGACGCGCGAGACCAGGTGCGCGCGTCCCGCGCGAGATCCGGCTGAAAATTCGCGCGAATAAGTCACGCGCTTTCGCACACGGCGGGAAGGCTCGGTCGCGCGGAGACTCGCGCGCTATCGCGAGGATGCTGCGCGCAGTTTACCGGATGATGGGCGCGCCACTTTCCCTCCGCCATAAAACAAACTGGATTGCGGAGGAGGAAGAGGAGCGAGAGGAGCGAGTCGCGCGGGAGAAGGTGACGCAGGTGACGAGGAGGCGAGAGCCGCGTCGGGGGCGCGCACGGAGAGGAGGCCGAAACGTGATCGGCCGTGCACGTTGCCGGCGATCGAACGAGCTCTTCTACGAGGGGATCGCACATTTGGAAAACGTGAGGCACGTTGACGGACGCGCCGTGCGATTACCGACCTCTCTCCTCTCGCCGATCTCCGAGGCTCCGGAGGCACGCGTCCAGTTCTCGGGTGACTAAGCGTTCTCCGTCTGCCCGACAACACGCTAACTTATTAAGGATTAATTATGTTACCTCGTTAAGGCCGAGCTCTAGCCTCTAATCGATTAGGGGAACGACCGTTGAAGCGTTGACGGTACAAGAGCGATCACACCTCGCTCCACTCTCGATGATCTCGCGAATATAGCACAAAGGA